TACAATATACCCTTATACCCATATTTAATGTGTTCAGGGTATATATAAAAAAATCAGCTTAATAAGCAAATAGTCAGCATCGAGAACACATTTCGTTGGAATAGTCATCTTAAATCCTATCTGGGAAGTTTTTGGGACTGGCACGTAATGAGCAGTAATTTGTATGACACCTATATATTGACATCACAATTATGCCTTTAGCTGACGAGATTAAGAAATATTGAAATATAAATATATGTTATAATATATAGCAGGTTTATAATTATGTTTAACTACCAAAGTGGCAGGTGAAGACCCCTTTGTTTCTGCATAGTATAAAAATATTCATTCAGTTTGTTTGCATGAACGCCTTATTCTCAGGCACATATTCTCAAGCACACGAAATACCAGTTCTCATAAATAAATTAATAATACAATCAATAATAACAATCGTTAAGCCCACCTGGAAATATTCTTTTGCCTCCTTGGAAGTCGAGGTACCGAGACCCTTATAGTATTTGATATTGTACGTATGATGATTGGGCGTATCCATTTTCCATTCCTCGAATTCGGGCAGCGAATAGAAGGAAATCTCTTCATTCTTTTTCGATGCCTTCACAATGGGCGTTATGAACTCCTCGAGGAAGGGCAAACGCAAAAGTTCCGGCCAATTGGTGTGTATGAAATTGATCAGTAAACCCTTAATATGGGAACCATCCTGATCCTGATCAGTCATGATCATAACTTTGCCATATCGCAACGTCTTTAGATCATCCATGGTGAGATATTTCTTCTTGTACTGCAGTCCAATAATCTTGCACAGATTATTGATCTCAGCATTCTCCGTAAGCTGTTTAAAGGTGGCTTCGCGCACATTGAGCAGCTTGCCGCGCAGCGGAAAGACCCCATAGTAGTTGCGTCCGATGACGCCCAGGCCGGAGACAGCCAAGGATTTGGCTGAGTCTCCCTCGGTGAGAATGAGGGTACACATTATGGAATTTTTGGTGCCTGCCTCATTGGCATCTTCCAGCTTGGGTATGCCTTTGATTTTAGTTGATTTCTTGCCGCCAGTTTTGGCAATATCATTCTGTGCTTTAAACTTCGCCCAGGCCAGTACAGACTCCACAATGCCCGCCTTTGATACATTAGAAATAAACTTCTCGGAGAGCACACACTTGGAGCCAAAGCTTTTGGCCTGCAGTGTCATGTTCTCTTTGGTTTGCGAGTCAAAAGTGGGATTCTCGATTAGGCAATTCACAAATATCCACAAATGGTTGCGCACTTGAAACGGTTTTATACTGATGCCATTCTTGTTCTTCTTTTTGAGCACCTCAATCAGCTGCTTGATGACATTGTCAACCACATGATCGACATGGCGACCACCCTTGGTGGTTGCTATGGAATTAACAAACGAGACCTGCTGAAAGCCACGATCCGAGGGGCAACAAGCAATTTCCCATCGATCGCCGCACGCCTCGTATACCACCTTCAGAGGCTGGCCAGCTTCATCATCTGTATTCTTGATAAACAAATCAATGTAATCCTTGAAGCCCTTCACCGGCACCTTGGTGCCATTCAAGAACACAGACACGCCCTTCGTGGATGCTGCCACATCGTAGGCGCGACGCGACATAAGCGCCACAATATCATTATCGAGTGATTCCATTTTAAACTTTTTTAAGTCGGGGCTAAATGTTATCTTCGTGTAATCGGTGCCATTAAAGTCTGAAATCTAAAAGGAAACTGATATCAGTTAAGGCTTAAAATTGGGCATAGGTAATTGGTACTTACAACTGGATCACCTGCTTTTCCCATGTTGTTGCCCCAGGTCTGCTTGAAGCACTTCCTATACTTCCTTGTCGCCGTTTCCACGGTGAAGCTGGTCGAGAAAATGTTGCACAATTTGGCACCGTAGCCATTACGACCACCAGTTACCTTCTTCTCATCATCATTGTAATTGGATGAGGTCAAAAGATGACCAAATATCATCGTGGGCACATACATATTCTCGTCTTTGTGCATCGTAACCGGTATGCCCTGGCCATTATTCCAAATGGACACTATATTCCGCTCCGGATCAATATCAACTTTAATCGTATTCATCGCCTTGTCGCGCTGCTTATTATCAGCTGCATTCACCAGAATCTCATCGAATATCTTGTAAAGTCCCGGCACAAATGATATCTCACGTTGCACCATGCGATTCTTTTCGACATCATGTACCCACATTAGCTCCTTGGTAAACTCCACGGATCCAATATATGAATCCGGACGCAAAAGAATGTGCTCCAGCTGCGATTTCTTCTGGTACATCTGTTCGATGGACATGCCGCCTTTACCCTTGCCATTCTCCATTATGACGACTTTGTGGTTGCTGCTGCTGCTTTGTTGCACGTGCTAAAAATTAAAACAACAATGATAGTTAAAAGCAACCCAACATAACTGTACCCTCAAGCACGCTGCTTTGTTTACGAATAGAAAGCCGTAGCACAAATTGTGATTATCCAGCGTAAGAAAAAACATATCTTCGGGGTGTCGAATTTTAAATGCCCTTACACTCTTAAAAGGTTTGTAACTGCAAAAATTGCTTGATTTCTTTTTGGAAAATCCGTTCTGCCTAATCAAAAATAATAATAATATTAAAGAACCTTGCCAAACGTATCTGCTTATATTATTGATCAGGCTTTAATGTGTAGCGAATTTCATGACAAAAAACTGATGTACTCTGGGTAGGGTGTAAAAATAGTTTTCAATGCTTTTGTTTTTGGCGCGAACACAAATACACAGCCATTTAGGCATAACAACTTTCTTTTAACACAAACTGTGGTCGAAAAATAATATTTGGTTTAAATGAAATGTATGCTTCTTTTAATGATTTACTTCATACTTTTAAGTTCAATATAAAAGTGCAGCAGCATATATTTAAGACTTGTATATTACCTTCTCTAGCCTGAAAGACGCGCGCAATGCGGTGTTTGTGTATGTATAACCTCCCTGTCTTTAGGCGGGATAGTTGAGCCGGCTGCTTATGCGTCAACAACAACTACAACATGAAAAACATTTGCTAGACAAAAAATAAGCAATACATTTTTACAAACAATTGCAGCATTATGTAATGCAACTGTATATATGTATGTGCGCCACGTTCAGTTGCACCCACAAAAAGAAAAACGCAAACTTAGCGTAAATATATTTTCGGGTGCCCGTGTATGCGTGTGTATCTGTGTGAGCGGCTTTACCGGCTTTGCTGTTTAGTCTATGAAATATGCTATTAAATATAATTTTACCAAAATAAATCGAGTGTATATGTAAAGGGCATTTAAAAAGCCCAACTTCTACAATTGCCTTCGTAAAGGTATTTCGTATACACAACTTACGCACAAAAATTCTATCTATATGGGCAGCGCCATTTTTAATTTGCAAATGCGACGCCAACGGGTAAAAAGCGTTTAATTCTCAACTCACATACAAAAAAGACCCATTAGATAGTCTGCTTTAACTCTTTCCATTCATTTTAATTATGCCAAACACCATTTTGCTCACCTTTTTAGTTGTTTGTGTGAATTTTGTGGCTGCTTCGACGAAACCAACGCGCGACTGCGACTGCAAAATATGCACACACAGTAGACGCCGCCGCACTTTATTTTATTTGCTGCGTTGGTCTTTGATTTGTACTGCACGTATTAGTTGCACAGTAACACTTAATTCTATATTACACGCAATCAATTAGTTGTAACACTAAATAAAACGGACTTTACAATAAAATTTAATTGGTGAAAATTCCTTGGCTGCACAATCACCCGTCGTCGCCAAGCCAAGAATACAGACGATGGTTCCTCTGTCGATATAATTATCGATACGTGAAGCAGATGTTGCCAGACCTAGGGAAATGCTGGATTTGTACTGCAACAGGCATGAAACAAATAGAAATCTACGCTAGTGCTGCCACCTGTTTGATATTTTGCTTGAAATGGCACGTAACAATCGATGTGAACTAAAAAAAATAACAGTTATATTTAAATTCTGTGGCATCATATTGATTGCATACAAACTATAGTTCAATTATGGTTATAACTAACCCGTTTTTAATGGCTAAACGTTTCACTTTTGCGAAAATGTTATGCTTACGTTTGTATAAAATCATCATGTATGCTTAAAATAGTCAGATTGCGTTAACTGTCGGAAATGACCAATGCTAAATATCATGCTAAATTAACGAAAATTTAAGGCTAATGCGACTAGGAGAGGCCTGGCCGGCTAAACAAGTTTTTTGGTCCTCGACTACGTCCAACTGACCTTGACCAACGACAACATAAGGTTTGTTGCACTTGCAGTTAAAACTAGTTTTTCTTTTTTTTTACGTATATTTGTAAAATCAACGAATGTTCTGTTTTGGATCAATCTGAGATGGGAAGTTAAAATTGCAAGTAATCGTATAGGTCAGTTACTCAGCAATAACGACTTACACATTGTCTGTACTTAACGGGGTGACGTCATTAAAGCTCATTGAACTTGCACAGCATCTCTCATTACATGTGCATGCACACATACATATATACATACACACATACATACAATAGCATCAGAAACTTCATCATCAAGCTGTGGCCTCCATTTTTAGCCTTCCGATTAGCTGCAAGTTTACGGCTACACAATATTTTCACTCTCACTGGCATTAAATAACATGCAGTTACCCTAACAATGAGCTTATGACACAGAGATAAAGGGAGAATTTAGTTCTTAGTATTTTAGTTTTTTTTTTGAGCTAACTTGGCACACAGATATCTTAAAAGTAAGATACACTTTTCTTCAGAAATTCTTTTATACATTGTACGCTTGATATTATTTTACTAGTGTACAACAGCTTCGTTTTATTGTTTTATTTTTTGCTTACAGCACATAGAACTTGATGCTTTTCATTTAACTCGTTACCCGGCTTGAATACGGGTTTTCTCCGAGTGTTGTTCTGAGTGCTGGGGGCATAAAACGTTTTGTTCTAAACGATCTTTGAGTCAGTCTTGAAACAAAGTTGTGCGACACGATTCCACTTCGCATTGACAGTTGTTGGATTTCAGTTACGAAAAAGAGTAAATATATATACTATATGCGCGATATAATTATAAGAAATACCAGAGATCTGCTGTGCGTGTAAACATCAATATCTATAGAAAAGCCAAATATTTACTTAATAATTAAAATAAAAAGTGCACTTTGAAGATTAACACCAGTGGAAAAATGAATGCAGCTGCTATAATTGATATACTATATCAATTAGTTAAAGGTCCCGCCTTGATTACTGCAGTTATTTATTTTTAATGATTAAAACCGGTATATAATATAATACAAACAAAAGCAAACAGGCTAGAGAAATTAATGCAGATTACTTTCTTGTTATTGTTTTTCTTTTTCATTTGTCAATTAAGTAAAGTGCAGTCAGAATTAACGCATCTTGACTAGAAATGCGGTTCATTAACACTGGAACTTAAGATTAAAATTCGTTGAAGATTGGCTTGCATTCTTTGCATTCGGCCACGCCTGGCAATATTTGCGAGTTGAGACTGTGATCTGGAATTTGGAATTTGCCCACAAATTGGCGCGTTACCTGCTTCTGAGGAGAAATGGATGTGATCTCGTCTCTCCAACAGAATAGTTTAAGTTTAGTTATATATGAATATATATGTTTCCTTTTAAGAACGCCTTGTTGTTTATTAAGTTCTATATTCCTAATTACCGCTGACCCTGCTCTCCTGCTCCTCCGTTTTATCCACACAAAGTGTTAACTTCTCGAGCGAATGCAAACAAGGAGTTAAGTGCCCAAATGCACTTTGTCATGTAAAATGGCCCGGGGTTTGTTTTTTTTGTTTGTCAATTGTTTACTAAGATGAGACATTAGCGCGAAAATTTGCTACGTGCTCGAAAGCGGAACAGAGTAGAAAAATACATTGGAACAGAGTGGAAGAGACGTTACCCTTATCAGGTTTTTGAGCAATTGGGTGTTGAGTTCAGCTCGGTTGAGTTCAGGAAGAGATTTCGGACTGGGTTGAAGCGATAATCGTTGTCGCTGCCTCATTTTGTTATCGCAAAAATGTGCCTTTGTTTTGTTTTTGTTTATAGCATATATTGCATATATTGCATGGGATTGAAAACATTTGGTGTGATACGCGGACTCAGTTTCAAACTTGAAGTCGAACGTTGACCAACTGCTGAAGGAATAGAAAAATAGAAACAAAATGGTAAAATAAAAAGACATCAAATGTCTCTGGCAATTGCTTTAAAGTCAAGCTTCAAAGTGCCGTCAATTTCAAGTTCAATTGCAGGCAGCACTTCAAGTTTAGCACCAGACAAAAAAAAAAACAAAAGCAAACACATAATACTGCTAACAATGAGACACGTGAGGTTAACAAAAGTTCTCGTTCTGTGCACTTAATTATTGTTTTAATTCTCGCGTTTGAAATTGTTTTTGCTACATTTTACGCTCGCAACATTCAAACAACACGCTCAGCAACAAGTTAGAGTTTAGCTACATGTCATCTTAGCAACATGTCACCTTAGCAACATTTGAGTGCAGTGTTGCAAAGGCAGCATTTGAGAGAGTAAAGAGAGAGAGAGAGAGCGAAAAAGTCACATATACCTTTATACAACATGTAGCACAACATACTGATTGCTCATCTCTTTTGGCCCATTCTCTTTCTAAAGGCCCGAGCTATGCCTGCCATAGAGCACAAATTAAATATCACCGAGGAGGAAGTACCAGAGTGCATACGTCTCCTGGCAGCAAAACAGGGAGAATGCTCGAAGACAAAACAGGAGACAATTGCACAATTTCGCAATTATATCTTAGGTAGGTTTCGAATGATGTACGCCTGAAAAATAACCGACTAAAAATGGTTTTTGACATTCTACAGAGCGCAATGACTGTCAGCCGCATCGCAATGATGATAAATATCTGGAGAAGTTTCTGCGCGCGCGCTACTGGAAAATTGAGAATAGCTACAAATTGGTGGGTTTATCTAAACTAATTTATTTAAAACTATTTTTTATGAAAATCGAATTGCCTGGTTTATTGATTAACGAGCGCACAATGAAGCCCGCAACAGCTGGGAAGTTGAATTTTCAGAGTTCCTATTATGAGCTAAGTTTTAGAAAATTCTCTCCGAAAAACTGGACTCTTAAACGATTTTATTGGGGACTTGTTTCATGCTTTTCGAAAAATCTTTGAATTGGGCGGGGGATGGAGATCAAAATGTGCAAAAATTGGAAGAAAAACTGATTTAAAACTGAATGATAAACAATGTGTGGTTATATTTATTTATGATATCTTTTAGTGCTTATCAAATAATTATTTTTACAGATCTGCAACTATTACAAATTTCGTGAAGAGAACAAAAGTTACTACGAGAAGGTTCGTCCTTTGGATTTGCGGCATCTCGGCGATGAGAATATATTGACTGTGACGCCATATCGTGATCAGTTGGGACATCGCATACTCATCTATCACTTTGGATTGTGGCGGCCAAATCGCGTGACTGTGGACGATATTTTTAGGGCAACCATTTTGCTGCAGGAACTGGGCTCGCTCGAGCCTATCTCTCAAATAATGGGCGGGGTGGCCATATTCGATTTGAAGGATTTGGGTCTGGAGCATATGCTACATTTAAGTCCCAGTGTGGCACAGAAAATGATTGCCTTGCTTGTGGTGGGTGCGGGATGCAAAGATCTTGCTAAATTAAATGTAAAACTCCAAGTTTTCCTTTCCTGCAGACCTCCATGCCCATACGAACCGCCGCCCTGCATATAGTCAATCAGAACTGGCTATTTAATGCGGCTTTCAAGATCTTTAAGCCGTTTCTCAATGCCTCCATGCGTGAGCGACTCTTTATACATGGAAGCGACATGAGATCGTTGCACGAGCACATTTATCCCGAGCATTTGCCCAAGCGGTAAGTTTACTATGGGGTTTTCTTCCATGTATAAACGAATAACTAAACTTCATGATCTTTTCGACAGTTATGGCGGTATGCATGAGGATTATTCCTATACGCTCTGGCTGGATATGTTGCAGCATCAGTGCGCCAGCAGTGAGATTCAGAAGGACATGGAACAATTAGGCTTTATTTTCGATTAGCAATCTTTAATTTTCTTTGATGCTCTGCGGTTTAATGCTCTCTTAAATATTAAATAATCTTCTTAAAAGCTCAATTTTAATTTTAAGGACACATTATGAATTAAGAAAAAATATATAAAATATAGATTTTTTTAAAAACAGCTTTTTTAACATACTTATTGAAACAGGTATGCGCTTTTGAGGTTAGGATAAACAATTTTGGAGGTTAGGTTTCTGATGATCTGATCTGATGAATATTTCATTTTCTACATTCCTTTGATATCTGCTCTCGGACCAGTTGTTTCCATAATAACAGGAAAATTAAAAAAAGCAACAAAAAAAATGTAAGAAAACACAGGACTTACACTTTATAGATTTGTATTACCTCTTATATAATTTCATACATAGTTATTTACTTTCTAAACTTATGCATATCTGATCAAATATGCATATATTATGTTATGTTCAGCAAAAACCAAAACAACTATTTGAAGTTATTAATCAAATGATTTAATTTTAGGTCTGTTATTTGCGATTTACCAGCCTTAGTCTTTCCGGGTCTACACCATTTTCAGCTGTTAGGCACTTCAATATTTAAAAGTAAAAGGGCAACATTTTCCAGAACTCAATTTTTCTGCTTTTAAATCATATTTTTATACCCTGAACCCATTAAAAATGGGTAAAAAGTATATATATTCTTGATCAGCATCAATAGCCGAGTCGATCTAGCCATGTCCGTCTGTCTGTCTGTCCGTCCGTCCGTCCGTCTGTCCGTATGTATGAACGCAAGGATCTCAGAACCTATAAGAGTTAAAGACTTGATGTAGGTCCTCCTATTGCCTGCGCAGATCGAGTTTGTTTCCGATAATCGATAACTTGCCCCGTTTCCAAGCAATCGATAAACATTTATATCGAAATCCTGTTTTTTGGGCAATTTTGGTAAATAACAAGAGCTTGAGTCACCAAACTTAACATGTAGCTTCTAGAATTATATATATTTTTGCATTTGGTGTTGGAAGAAGAGGGTTCAGAGTACCCCCTAGTCGGGAGTTCCCGACTAGAACCTCTTACTTGTTTTCTTAAAGGTTACTGCCCAACATATTTTCGAGCCGATCATATTTTCAGCATATATTAATCAAAAAGCAAATAACCATTTGCGGTTACGACACACACACTTTGAGGTTAGATCTGGTGTATTCTATCAAATTTAATGCGCCACACATTTGGCGACTACAAAGAACCAAAAATGACAACTGCTCTGAGGCAATAATAATAACAACTACAACAACAACAACAACAACAGACCGAGCAAATCAAATGAGGAAACGAGTCCATATTGAAAATTGGTTCCGGTCAAGAAACCCAGAGTCGAAGACAATTTCCCGACATGTTCGTTTTATGTGTTTTATATGCAAAATGCGTTAGGGTAGAGGGCAGTTAGAGCGAGATGACACCACTGGCTGTGATTTGCCGTTATGGTAATTGAGTGTTGGACAACGCATAAAATGCAGCCCACCAAACAGTGCCACAGCACATAAATATTTTTGCGCCTCACAAATATGTTTGATATACCATATATCTATTTTTTGTATATTGAATTTTTTGGCACCGGAAGCTGCTCTAAGTCTACGCACACAAACAAACCGTAAAAAAGTTAACCCCCGCCCCCTCTCGCTGACCCGTCCCCCTGCCACTTTGGTCAGTGAAAACGATAGTGAAATTGATTTTGGTGCCAAGGGGTCGCCCAGTTGTCCCCGGACATAATCTCTATATGTGCGCCATTTGGGCGATTAAAGCGACAAGATTAAAAAATTTATTGCGCAAATATTTATGGGGAACAGTAGCCCAAAAAAGAAAACAGAAAGAGAGATAGAGAGAGAGAGAGAGAGGGAGAGGGAGAGCGAAAAAAATATAAAGAACAGACGGAAACATAGCCTACATCTGAGGTGGGGCTTACGGACACTGTCCCGTTATTAGCTCAGCTCTGAGTAACACGTGTGCCGAGCCAAAGGCTGAACTGAATATAATTTATGGCTGGCGAGCACATTATTTATTTGTATTTTATTGGCAAGGGGAGTGGATGTACAGCGGGGTGAGGAAACCATGTCTTCTTGTATTCACCATATGCCGCATATACGCATAAGTCAGTGAGAGTTTTTGGCGAAATGTGGACAAATATCTTTCTTAATTGATTATTTTTTGTCTAAAAATTTAAGCATGGGATAAACGGGGAAATTCTTAGCGTTAATATTATACATACATACATCGATATAAATGAAAAGCTCCTGGAAAATTTCGATACAATTCTTTCAATATATGTATGTTTCATACACAAAAAAGGTCTTAAAGTGTGCGCTGTTCGACAAAAGTGATTGGTTGATTGACAGATGCGATGATTGATTGAGTTACAAGACTGCTAACTATTTCGATGTTAGTGGACATGAGATTTTGGAAAGATCCTGGAAAGTGGTTAGAAAACAATTTAAGAAAATCATTGGGCTTGGCAAATTTTCAAAATCGTTGTGAAAATCCAAGACAAAAATTGATAAACTATTGTAGTCCTCTCCGGATTTGGGGCTTACCTCGATCACCTTCGAGCCTTTCTCTTAGCCTTGAACTTCAAGCTCATCTTTTTGCCAAAGACTTTGACTTTATTATCTTATTTCGAAATAGCAGCCTGACGAAACTTCGTTATCCAAAATCCTCATCATTAAACAGCGTTTATAACTTAATCCCAAGCACAGCAACTGCGCCAACCACAGAGAAGCCTAAAAGAGATATATATGGCAACCATTTATCAAGCAAGGTGGTGCCTCATCGATGAAGCTGTGCTCGCTGTGCTGTGTGTCTGAGTGTTAACCAGGGTCATAACGAGCCGCCATTTATACTGTTTACACCTTCGCCTCCGGGCGAGAAGACGATGCCCGTAGTCGTATCCGGAACCGGTGCCGGGCGACGCCAACGGAAGTCAACACATTGACAGCAAATATTTCAATTATGTTTGCCGGCAGTTTATTTATGGGATAATTCAGGGTCCGGAGGGGTCGTTTTTGCACTCAACCCAAGACGAGGTCAGTTACGCTGCTTTTTGGTTGACTTAATGTTGTTTACAAATTGCTGGCCATTATTTATTGTTCTTTCTTGTTTTTTGGCCAACATTCTGCCAATGAGTGAATGATAAACTGCGACTCGTGATAACCAACGACATTGGCTGATGGATGTGGGACGAGGGCTACAGGGTTGACGGGGCGATGAGTGGTTATAGAGCTCATTAGGAAACAATTACAAAAGCAGGCAGGCACACGCTCACAGCTTAGGGTTGCCAGCAAATGTCACCCTCTTGGCTGAGCTGTGTGTTTGAGTGCCTCGGAAAAAAGGTCAGGTACGGCATGTCCAAATGTCAGAGTTGACTGACAGTTGACAGCTGGGCGACGCCCACAAATGTGGCCCTCGTATAATATGGTTAATTTTTCAGTCTGAAAAAGTGGATAGGGCCAAGGTCTGATTAAAGTATTATTATCTGTAGTATATCTATAGAAACTTGTTGCTAATCGAAAATTATGAAGCGTGAGAGGCAGAACGAAAAAGAGAGAGAAAGAGAGACAGAGAGAGAGAGAGAGAGAGAGAGAGAGAAAGAGAGAGAAAGAGAGAGAGAGAGAGAGACAGAGAAAGAGAGAGACTTTATCTAGAAATATAATATGCGTAAAAGTCAATACTTTAGTCTTCAGCCATCTGACTGTTATACAGGTACTTCAATGGTCATACAGCATGCGTATAACAATTGGCCAGGAATGTAGATTTGTATAGTTTTTTAGAATCATATGTATGTTAATAAGAGAATAATATTACATATTCGGGTTTAAAAATAATGGAAAGCTATGGCTCGCATGTCTATAATCTCGCATACAGAGCATATTATAACAGCTATAGTTATAAATAGGTGTATTTCAGAAAACAGATAAATTTAATCAAGCATTGCCTCATTTGGTGATTGATTTTTGCTTTTACATAGTATATAATATAACAGCTTACTAAATTGTACAAAAGAGTTACATATATCAGTAATTTTAAACAACTGTATAAGAGTTGCATAAGCCTAGTCCAAGTTCGTTGGAATATATACAACATTAAGAGTATAACAGTTTCTTTGATATTCTATAACAGTTACTAAGCTCGAGTCGTATTGTAAGAGAGCGCGAAAGAAATAAGTGTATGACAGTTTCTTAACTTGTGTATAACAGTTACAATAGAGTAACTAGTTCATGAATATATGAGTAACCTGCCAGTAAAATTCTGTCAAAATCGATTCCCTACCTTGATGCGCATCCCTCACGTTCTCATTAAATCCGCCCCGTCGAGTTGCACCATACAGCACACACACAGACAAACCGCTGTTTGCAACTCTCATGGAAAAAGGGGGCGACGGCGTCAAGGGGATGGCAATGTAAATTTGTTGCACAAGTCGTTGTTAAGTCTGCATCGATTTTCTGTTGATTTACCAGAAATTATTTGTGATAAAACACGATATTTCGTCATGTTTAAAGTGCACTCCAGGAGATGAAGCGCTGAATGTGGGGTTAGGAGATTTTGCGTGGGGTGTGTGTGTGTATGTGTGTGTGTGTGTGTGTGTGTGTGTGTGTGTGTGTGTGTGTGTGTGGTTGACTGGATGACAATCAATCGCATCATATGGCAGACTGAAGATCCAGGCGGAGGACATGCGAGGACAACTATGCGCTTTTAATGCTGCCTAATCCGGCGTAATAAACATTCACGTAATATGCGGGAATCAATTGAAATGCAATTGAAAGGACTCGTCATGCAAATATTTGACAGGATATAGCGTATGACAATGGGTACAACACAAGCACACAACCACACACACACACACACAACCACACAAAGTAGAGTTGGACGCGTGTCGTGCTTTTCTCTCGTGACACGAACACGTACGGGCTTTTAAATACGTGAGGAGAATAGTGAAGATTATTATATTATATATTTGTATCTTTACCATTGTTATCCGATGTTGATTAGATTTTGCTGAACTGCAAGCAGCTCAGTATAACCAATAGATGCGGAAGAATCGTGTTAGAAAAAACCAACACGCGCCCATCTCTAGTCTTAAGTCTAAGTCAACAGACAAAAGTCGCGGCACTTGAGCCGCGAATTAGTTGTGAATACGAGAAATAAACCGCGGCATACTTTTCGGGATGAGGGCTAAATGTAAATAAAAGAGCAAGAGCTCACAGTTTACAATGCCCTGCTCTCCACGTGCCAGGCCAACAGACACACGTGTCCTGCCGCCACCTGCCTGGCCTCGTTAGCGTGCCGAATGCCCCCGAATCCTGCCTTGGCTGACGTTGATTATTACAATATTTTAATTGGCCGCTGGCAAATATTTGCACACCTTTAACCCTTTTTAATATGGCTAAGTGCTGCAGTTGTCTATTCGAAATAAATGTTGACTCTCGTCCAGCCAAACAGAAACCTCAACGGTTAAATCACAGCAGTCTGGACGCAGACTCGAGTCAGTCCGGAGCCCAAATGGTTCCAAATGAGCCAAAAAATCCAGCTTGAATCAAGTTAACTTGCGTGACTCGGCCATGAGATGCTCTGTTTCAACATTCATACCCAAATATAACATATATAGCTAAAATATTATTATATTATGAGTTGTATGTTAAAAAAGAATAACAAAATCCGGGCTATGATGCTTGCTTTAAAATAATCTGTTATACTTTCGTTTCTTGAATTTCTTGTATATTTGTAATTTGAGAAAAAAATGGCCTAAATATATAATTTATATATTTCCTAATATAATATAAGCTGCGTATGGCTCTTATAGAGATCAAATGGATTACAGTTACAGAGCTGCCTCCGCCTCAAACTACCCTCTTTATTATAGGGTATGCGGTAAAAATCCAAACAAAAAACCAAATGGAGCATGCTCAGGAGTATAATTCGATTGTGTTCAATTTAATTTTGACAAGCTTCAATGGCACAGCAATCCAAGCCCAAAGGATCTGCCCCCCGGTTGGGAAGGGCTAGGTAGTGGGCGGGGTGTGTGTGCTATGGCACATGAATTGGGCGAGGCGGCAGTTGATTTGATTTTGTTTTATGTTTCCTGCTGGCTGGGAATTCTTCGATTTCGCCCCCTTCTACTACATTGAGTCGAACGGGAGGGTTCGGATTTTTGTCTAAAGATACGAGCTTAGAAAACAACAGCAGTTGCCCCACATGTAGAGATTTTGTGGTCAGTTTTTGCGGCTTACCAAAGATTAGAGTAGTGAAATACTTCTTAAGCCCAATTAAGTGACAGTCGTGAGAATTAAAGAAACTTGAAACACTCCAAATTTTTTCATTCAAATGCCTTAGAAAACTAAGAATTTAAGTTTTTAAGGTGTGTTACATAAAGAATAATCGAACGCGAATTCAAAAATGGTCTTCAATACCCGATCTGAAAGACGCAGATGAAGGCATTTCGGAGCACATTTAGTATATATATACATACATATATATACATACGCGTTCTCGATCTATTTACATTCGTTATTTGCCTAAATTCTATCATTTTATTAGATTTCATTAGAGCTAGCGATTTTATTTTGGAATATTAGATCTTATATACCATAGTTTATTTCATTTGATAACTTCTTAGGAGACTATAAAAGCTCTCAATGCACTTTAAACATATTTTACAAGTAAGAAGTTATAGTCGGGAGCTCCCGACTCGGGGATACCCTGAACATAAAATGAATATATATATTCTATTTTAGAAGCTATATGTTATGTTTGGTGACTCTAGCTCTTATTATTTACCAAAAATGCCCAAAAAACAGGATATCGATATCGATTTTTATCGATTGCTTGGAAACGGAGTAAGTTATCGACTATCGGAAACAAACTTGATCTGCGCGGGAACCTGGAGCATCTACATTCAAGACTCTAGCACTTATAGGTTCTGAGATCCTTGCCTCCATACATACGGACGGACGAACGGACGGACAGACAGACGGACATGGCTAGATCGACTCGGCTATTGATGCTGATCAAGAATATATATACTTTATGGGGTCGAAGATGCTTCCTTCTGCCTGTTATATACATTTGGATTTTGCGCAAATACAATATACCCTTATACCCGTTTTTAATGGGTTCAGGGTATACAAATAGAATAGTGGAGATCAGGATAGTACGGGTATATTTCAATTTTCCACATGCGTTTACTTAGTGGAAAAATAATATCTAAAACTTTTAGCACAAAACGTTTGACGGGCAAGGCCGGGCAATACCCGCTAGTTAGAATATATTTTCTTATAATTAAAAAAAAACCGATTTAATAAAGTGAAAAATATAAACAAAATACAATGACACATAAAAATCGCATCAGTTAAGAGAGCCTAAAGACGTGGAAGCGTTTCCGCAAATTCAAATCTAAACTAATCCCAACCCGCAATAAATTAAACATAAGCCCGATTGTGCCTAACTTTATGTTTTAGCAGTATTCAATTGTTAGCCCACATTTAGTGTCCCTCGATGGACAAAAAGATCCGCTCGCAGCCCGCAAAAAAAACTTGTTGCATGAAAGTTGTGACCATAAAATACACAGCTTCCCAGTTCGGATAGCTCACAATAACATTACATAACAGAAATGAAAAATCTGTTTAGTTGCGGCAGCCAAAACATTTGCACAGCAAAAGAATAAAATTAAAAGAAACACACTAACAACAAGGAAAAAACTCTCAACGCCCATGTCCGAAAAACCGAGTCGAAGGTAGGGACAATTTAATGCCGAGTCAGCAGCATGCACCTGTGCAGTCCAGCCCAAAATCCTTTGCACAAGCCAAGCCAAAGCAAACACAAATACAGTTACAATATATTCATACATACGTGTGCATGTGTATGTTCGCATACTATATAGTGGAGAGTTCTTGGAACAAAACAAATCGAGCGACGTATCAACACTAAAATATCTACCATTGACTTATGCACTGGAAAACTGGAACAATGGATGCCCCAACAGGATGCTATACACAGTGCGTTGATTTTCCAATGCAAGCGCCAACCAAACCTTTGCCAGCCAACTGGAATGTCGGTATATGTAGGAATTTCTGTGGTAGTTTCTCATAAATATGCGCGAACACAAACACACACACGCACACATACAAGCCATGGTCAACAGCAAGTGGGCGGAGCCGTCGCAGCATAAGGTGAGCTTGTATATGTGTGCACCATTCGCTCTATGCTTGCCGTGTGTGTGTGCTTGTATGTGTGTGTGTGCCATTTTTATGCGCTCTATGGCAATTCAAAAACGCCTACTTCAAGAACAGCAACAACAACAGCCACCACCAAAGCCAAGCAAATGACGACAAGTGACGAAGTCAACAGAAAGCGAACAAACATAGCCGAAGCATCGGTAGCAAGAGCAAAACAAAGCTTTCAAGAAAGAGCAGAGAGAAGGTAAAATGGTAAATACATTAATTAAAGTATGATTTGTAAGTTATTGCAAAAAATATTATTACAACTATTAAAAAATTAGTATAACGAAAACAATAAAAATAAAAACACCATAAAAAAAAAAAAACAAATAATAGTAGTAAAAATGTGCCTATTTATAAGTATAAAAAAACAAAATCTATAATAAATGTATATATATAGAAAAAGGGCCTGTGAGCTGGAGATACTAAAACGCGTAAACGGCTCCGACTTAATTAAGGCATCTTATGAAAAAAAATCAGAAAATCGCAAAAAATTATTCTACAAAAATTCAATTAAACTTTATTATTATACAGTGTGCCACTGTGCAGAAGATGAGAGACATTCTGAATTGCACTGCGGAGCGCGAGAGAGCGCCTGACAACAAACATTTAACGGTGTAAGGGTGCCAAAATCTCTCTCACGCCGCTAACGCCTGTTGTTGTTATTGCGGCTAAGCTTTTACAATTCCAGCAGGAGCTCAACAGCGAATGGCGTGCAAGCTGGCAGCGCTTGGAGCTGTTGTTGCTCTTTAATACACACACACACTCACAGACTTACACACAGCCACACAGTCACATATACATCGAATTGAGGCGATGCGCGCGTCGCCGCCATTCTGCGGTCAGGGCCACCCTGCAGTCAAGTATACGACTAGAACCAGACTCAGTCGCCACCGTTAACTCTTTGAAACTGGACGCAGCGAGCGGCAAAAGGAAAAAATAAAACATAATAACACAATTCAAACGCGCTCGCGCCAAATTCAGAAAAATTAAACACAAATTTGAGAGATTTAAAAAAAAATTGTAAGCAAACAAATTTCAAATTTTAAACGCAAGAGCTAAGATCCAGCCAAGTGCAGTGTGACCCATAAGAAAGTTTAACCAAACCAAATTCGAGCAGTGTCAGTGCGTGAGTGCCCCCTGATAACTGTTAACTTAAAGCGACTCCCCCTCCACCCCAAACCCAACCCACCCGTAGTTGTATGTGAACCGGCGATCCAATGAAAATGGAAGATCCCACCATCGCCGAGTCATACCTGCAGGAATTTAATTTGGATCATTTGGGCGAAGGCGTGGCCGGTAACACGGTAACAACCCTAACGCCGGTGACCGCCGCCGCCGCCGCCATTGGGCATGTTAAGCGCGAGGATCACAGTCCACCACAGCCGGTTAAATGGACAACAGTGCATGGCGCTGAGCCGCCAGCGGATGAGGAGGCGGAACCGCTGCCAATGCCACTGCCACTACCCATTGCTGTACCGGAAGCGGCCGGCGCTGACGGCTCCCAGCTGGCTTCTGTATCGCACATAAAGCTGCGCTCCTTTTCGGGACATCAGTGGCACATAGATGAGCGACGCTTGCAGCCGCTCAGCCCGCCGCCCGAGGGCTATGTGGGCGATCCCGTTGGCGGTCAAGCTGTGTTGGTGAACACCGCCGCAGCTTCTGCCGCTGCCCCTACTGTGCCTGGCGGCGTACCATCCACACCGCCAGAGACACCGCCCGTAGTGGGTTCACCCACGGGCAGCAGCAGCTGCCCCAGTCAGGCATATGCGCATCATTACCATGCCGGACGCTCCAACTCCGGCGCCAATGTGGCCGCCGTGGGTCTCAGTCAGGAGATGATGTGGCTGCCTAATTCGATGCGTGCCGATCAACAGCCGCTGGATTTGCGCCCGCTTGCCTGTCCCGGCACACAGGAGGAGGCCGAGGAGTGGGAGCGTCAGAGAGAGTATGCCATGCATGCCGCCGCTGCGGCGGCACATCATCATCATGGACATCCGCTGATGCAGAGCCACCATCATCATCATCATGCCCAGACAAGGCATATGCAGGCACAACATCCCCCGCATCATGCCCATCATCATTTTCACAGTCTGGAGCACGCGCTGCCCATCAATATGCACTCGAACTCCGCGAACTCGTATGCGGGCAGTCCTGGCCCTGTTACCGGTGCCCCTGGCAGCCTATGTCAAACGCTTACCAATTGTGGGCCACAGCTGCCCTCAGCTGGCAGCAGCAGCGGAGCCAGCAGCGCCTCCAATTCACGTGGCTGTGTCCGTTCTATACTGCAGCCCTGTCGCCCGCTGTCGGCGAGCTCGACACGCAGCTCTAACAATTCGCCACGCACCTGCTCCGGTGCGTACAGCAATGCCACGCTAGAGGATTGCATCAATGATGACATGCTGACCACGTTGACTGTGAGAGAGCTCAATAAACGCCTGCACGGCTGCCCACGGGAGGAGGTAGTGCGCCTGAAGCAGAAGCGGCGCACGCTCAAGAATCGTGGGTATGCACAGAATTGCCGCTCCAAGCGGCTGCATCAGCGCCACGAACTAGAAAAGGCCAATCGCCAGCTCAACCAGGATCTGCATCGACTCAAGATGGAGTATTCGCGCGTTTGCCAGGAACGCGACGCACTGATGCTGCGCCTCCAGCAGCAGAGAACAGGCGCCGCCGCCGCCGGCGCGGACAGTCAAAGCTCGCCGGAGTTCTATCTATGACGCCAACTGGCGGCGGCCCCAACGGCTTCCATCTCAAATAACTCGCATCCGTTGCAGCAGCAACAGCAGCAGCAGCAGCAGCAGCCTCAGTCGCAGTCACAGTCTCTGCCGCCGCATCGTGCCTCGCATTCTCATCCGCATTCGCAGTGGCCACCACAGCAGGTGGTTAACTAATCTGATCTGGTAAATGACGCCAAAATAGTCCACAAGTGAAAATGCTTCCCAACAAATTTGAACAACATATTTAAATTTCCGTTTAATATAAGATACATCTCATACATTCAGTTTCCCTGGGACTGCACTAGAGTTTCCTAAATAATATCCCTTTACCGTAGTTGCTTTTATATTATATTTTACTATGGTTTCTTTTCGAAAATGGATTTCAATATAGCATAACAAAAACGATTTTTCCAATATATTTTCAAGCCCCGAAAAAAATTAAAATATGGTTTACCTCGAAAATAAATACTGTGCTATTTAATTTTGATTGTCTAAAAAAAATGGTTTTCAAAATTATTTCATCTCTATTGTCTAATCCGCAAAAATGCCAAAAAAAAAAATAACTTCAGCTTCAGCTCTTCTTCTTCATCTAAATAATTTCTCAAAAATATCCTTATAATAATAAAAGCCCAAAGAATACACAATATATAAATTATATACGAAATCATTTTAAAAATCTGCAAAAATATATTTTGTAATCTTAAATCAGCTTTTATTGCATAAACTTTTCCCAAAAATGATAGCTCAAAGAAAACTGAAAAAAAAAAAAATAAATAGAATGCAGGGAACAATATCAGGTTTCCTTAACATTTTTTTTATATTTATTTATTGGTATAAATAAATATTTTTGCATTATTTTTTATGCTTTTTATTAAGTTTCACGTTAAACCATTTTTGGAAAACTTGCTTAAAATTAAGTTATTAAATTATAATTTAATTAATATGTTCATATGTGGATTATTTCAGAGCGTCTCCCTTATCAATTTACTGCTGCAAAAAAAGGTATTTTCATGCATTTAAAGAGCTCAGAATTCATTTAAACAAAACGTTTTCACTTTCAATTTGTGACAATAAAATATTTCCAAATAATTTTGTAAGTTCTTGTTAAGTTATCGATCGATGCGATACGAATCGATTTAAATCGAACATTGGCTGATAATCATTTCGTATAGGAAGAGAGAGAGGGAGAGAGACAGAGAGAGAGAGAGAGAAAGAGAGAGAGAGAGTGGAGATCGCACACCCCGAACACTTAGTTCAAATTATTGATTATGAATTGTAGAAAAAAGGAATTAAAACATAAAACAAACATTTTTGTCAGCTACTGATTAATGATCAATCGACCGATCGCAACATTGTATTACAAATTACGAGTTAGTAACACACGCTTATTTGTTGATTAGTTATAGCTTTAGTTTTTTCTAGTATTAAGTGAGAGATGACAACAACCAAAATATCGTATACCCTGTACATAGGGTTAGACTAAATAGCTGTATAGCATGTTTCATAGCAGACGCTTTCATTTGGTTTCCATATCACAAACTCAACTCAACACACACACACACACACACACACACTCCTGTAATACCCTGCAAATGCAATAAAACAATATATAAGAAAAACTATAAACTAAAGGTTGTATTATGTTTTAAACACAAGCACTTGAAACAATTGAAAATACTAATGAAAACCAAGTCCTATACATGTAATTAACTCAATGAAAAACAAATATAACAAATATTGTAAATACAAATCAAATTGTATAAATTCTAAGCTAAACATTCGATGTCTGTCTTTATGAATAAAACAAAAATAAACAAATAAAAATGTTTAAGGAATACAATACTGAATACGACAACAATTGTGAATAGATTAAGTGTGCATAATAAAACTTAGTAATAAATACAAATACAAAAACAAAAAAAAAACAACTTTCAAAAAATAAAACCATATCGAATATGTTCTTAAATCTAAAGTGCTTTTCTTTTTGATAAGCATACTGTTTTGTTGTCATTTTTCTTAAGGTAAATATATCTCCTCAAGGAACCTTAAGATATATTATTTTAATTTCAGTTTGGCTGATTGATAAAAGAAAAAAAAAAGTCCAAGTAACTCGATGAAATATAAGCAAAATATTAAAGACTACTTTTAATTATTTGAATTATTTGGATAGTCTCTAAAAACAGCACGTCGATTTATGGACTTTAAAGCAATTCAGGAAATATTTGATAACAACTTTAATTGGAGCCCCGTGATTTTCTGAGCAGAACCTCTTCAACAGTATTAGATATAAAGGATAATAACCAGGAAAGGAAGCTGAACATTTCGTAAATTAATATTAATATTATGTTTGGAATATATTCATTTTGAATTTTAAGAAGGGTTTCTTATATTATTGTCCCAATTCCAAGTAGTTGTTTGTTTTAGATAGTTCATGCTTTATAGACATAACTGAATCACATTGAGAAAATAGAAGCAGAAAAAGAATTGACGTCACCTAACTCAGGTAATCACATTTAAAATGATAAGAGTTTTGAATTACAATCTGATTTTTGTTTGGGCTATACTTAGTTACAAACTATGCGGCACACGTGCTGCAAATAGCATTAACAATCCGACCTTCGGCCGAGATACTTAAACAAGCTTAGTCTAAGCTTCAGATCGAGTACCATTTTGTACATATTATATTATATTATATATTATATATTATATATTATATATTATATATTATATATTATATATTATATATTATATATTATATATTATATATTATATATTATATATTATATATTATATATTATATATTATATATGTACCCAAACAATTTAAATATATTCTGCAAGTAACCTGATAAATTGGGTATTTGTCTTCCTTTTGCATATCAGACTATGTATATCATGATGTATAAATGATTCTTATATATACTCTGGATTCATATACCGAATTGTTATAGTGTATGCCACAGCTTCCATGGAACTTCATTTTGTGTGGTCTGTGGGCAATTGATATAGGCGACCGACCACCAGCAACAGTGGCAAAATCCGATACGCTAAATGTAAACAAATTGAGCTTCAGATCCAGCTTCAGCATCTCCAGCGGATGCCAAGTTGCTTGGGTCCAAAATTGTGTCAACAAACAATCGATGGCCACTTGCGCTTTGAATGCCCAAACGTCCAAAGATGCCCGAGCAGGCGATCTACAGATTGTGCATGTTGATACAGAGGGAACAACGTCTCTGTTTATAAACAGCACCCGGAGGGGTGGAGGGGCGAAGGATCCTCAGCGTAATTCGGTGAAGTGGATGCGAGTTGTAGGCTTAAGATCAAACTTTGCTCTGGCTCTTCATTAATAAATTTTTTTGATATGCGATGCCAAAATTTGTCGATTGTTTGTTTCCATTTCTCTTGACCAGCTGTTGCCACCGACTGTGCATTTGTTTATATTTTTGATACTAATAAATATTGGCGTCGAAGTGTGTACACAAGCTGTCTGCTACAAAACGAAGTGCGTCAGCCTCTACAGATTGATTTTAGAAATAAATTGCAATAAACGAAAATTAAGCCTACGTTTTGAGCAAAGTAAAGCGTTTCACAAAATTTGTCAAAACTGATTGAATTAATTAGATACATATTGTATATTTTTAATGCTTTGAATAAACACGAAAATCTGTGATTCCGCATTCAGAAAAAAATGATTTCGACAATATATTTATGATATATTATTATAATTATATTATATTCCGTTACGTATTAAATATAATTTTCACTTGAATACTTTTTTATAAATACTCTAGAATTTTGAACTCCAATTTTAAAAAACTTTCTCCTTTGACCAACAACAATTACTGAATATTTGTAAACCCTGAACCAATTAAAAATGGGTATAAGGTTATATTTTATTTGTGCAAAATGCAAATGTATGTAACAGGCAGAAGGAAGCATCTCCGATCCCATAAAGTATATTTATTCTTGATTAGCATCAACAGTCGAGTCGATCTAGCCATGTCCGTAAGTCTGTCCGTCCGTCCGTCCGTCCGTCCGTATGTATGAACGCAAGGATCTCAGATCCTATAAGACCTAGAGATTTGAAATTTTAGATGTAGGTGCCGAGTGCCTGCGCAGATAGAGTTTGTTTCCGACAATCGATAACTTACTCCGTTTCCAAGAAATCGATAAAAATCGATATCGACATCCCGTTTTTTGAGCATTTTTGGTAAATAATAAGAGCTAGAGTCACCAAACTGGACATATAGCTTCTAAAATAGAATATATATATGCATTTGATGTAGGAAGAAAAGGGTTCAGGGTATCCCCTAGTCGTGAGTTCTTACTTCTTTTATTTTTGTTAACTTCTCAACACATTTTTTAATTCACATATAATGAATTATACATTAACCAATGGTACATTAAACTAATAGAAATTTTGTTTAAAAATTGTCTATTCCAAGAAATACTCAATTATATGTTATACATTCTTCAAGAAGGGTATCTTTCAGTCTTGCACTCTTCATTTCTATTATTGTTTCTGCGTTTTGTGAATTACCTGTGTTCCAGCGAACCTAAAATAAAAGCTCCATGGACATCGGCTTCTCTTTATGTAATGGAGAACGCGACGACGACAACGCGATAAAGTTGCGCAAGAATTTTTGACGAATTTTATTTGTCGCATATATGAATATATATATATATATATATGTATATATACGACATATGCGCTTCATAATGATTGCTTTGTCAATGTCCACCAAGTGGCCATTTTATTTTGTTTTCTTTTGGTTTTATTATTTATTTGCTTATACGCTTGTCACTCTGGCCCCGGCTATGGCTCTGTGGCCAGCAGGAAGTGTCGAATTACACTTCTTTTTTTTTTATGCATGAAAGCGGCGCATGCAACAGCCCAGATTTGATTTGATTTGATTGCTTTAAATGACCTAAAGCAACAATCAACCAAACTTGTTCAACTATATCTTTATGCAACTAGGTGGTTTATGAAACTATTATAAGCTTAACACTCTAGGGTTATACAAATAAGATAATATAAGAACTTTTCGTTATAAATATCTTCAGTTTGGCATATTTAAATATTTAGAAAGTATCTTGAACTACATTCAAATTCAAGTATACCCTAAATATTGGTCACATTTTGACTGTGTAAAAACCAACAAGAGAGTGTGTACGCGCCTTGGTTATACCCTATATGTATAGGGTAGTTTGACAACATTCCGATATGAGTTAGAAGCACGTTAATGTTAAAACACATACTCGTTTTTTTGCCCGCTCTAAGAAAAATTAATTCTTAATTAATCAATTTTAA